GGTGCCGGCGGGCGCCCCTGCCGCAGGACTGGGGGCGGCCGTGCCCCCACCCGGGCTGGGGTGCCAGGGGGTGCGGGGGGTTCCTGGGCACCATCTCACCCCTCTCCTCCCCACAGAGGCCTTGGTGAACAGCCAGGAATGGACCCTGGGCCGCTCCATCCCCGAGATCCGCCTGGTGGGTACCGTGGCCTCGTGTCCCTGCCCCGTGTCCTCCCGTCCTCGGCTTCCCTGACGCCCCCTCTGCCCTCTCCCCAGGGCGTCCTGGGCAGCAGCAAGAGTGGGAAGTCAGCGCTCGTCCACCGCTTCCTCACTGGCTCCTACGTGGGCCTGGAGCCCACCGAGAGTGAGTGGCCACGGGGATGGACATGGCCATGGGGTTGGGAACGGCCATGGGAATGGCCACAGCTATGGTGGCGGGCATGGCCATGGCGCTGGGTGTGGACATGAGGATGGACAAGGTCATGAGGATGGACAAGGCCGTAGGGTTGGGCATGGCCATGGGAGGGAGACGGTCATGGTGCAGGACATGGCCACAGCACTGGGCATGGCCACGGGGACAGACAAGGCCGTGGTACTGAGCGCGGCTGTGGGGTGGACAAGGCTATGGTGCTGGGTAAGGCCACGGGGATGGGCAAGGCCATGGGTAGAGGTAAGGTCCTGGTGCTGGCCGTGGCCATGGGATGGGCAAGTTGATGGTGCCGGGCATGGCCATGGGGATGGGCAAGGCCGTAGGATTGGGTGTGGCCATGGGACAGGTAAGGCCATGGTGCCGGGCATGGCCATGGGGATGGGCAAGGCCATGGGTAGAGGTAAGGTCCTGGTGCTGGCCATGGCCATGGGGTGGGCAAGGCCATGGGGCCCAGCAGAGGCCCAGGGCTCCCCCTCTCCTCCCTCCGGCTCCAGGTGGCCAGTTCAAGCGCGAGGTGATGGTCGATGGCCAGAGCCACCTCCTGCTCATCCGGGAGGAAGGAGGCGCCCCGGATGCCAAGGTACGTGGGGGCTGGGGGCCGGGGGGGGCCGTGCCGGCCAGTGCCCAGCCCCGACCCCCCTCC